CCCCTGGGCGCAGCCCCTTAAATTACTGACCATAACAAAATGAAGAGGGTTCATAGTGAAAGCAAGAGTCTCCTCGCGATGAACTAGAAGATGAGTGACAACATGTGACAATGCCCAAAGGTCAACAGTGGCCTGAGCTGCCCCCTAAAGCTAAAAAAAGCTTGCAGAGAATGGGCATGAAGCTCTTTCTGTTCGCCCGCAATCTGCAATCGTTTTGCTGACCGTGCCGTCTATGGTCTGAAAGGGTTGAGAGTTACCATGAGAGTAAACATGGGCGCAGAGATGACATGCAATTTGTTTGCTCCGCTTCGCCGCTTCGCCTTCAGAGGCGTCAAACCGGGGGGGGGGGGGGGNNAATACAAATTTGTAATGTCGATGAGCCAAGGCGTGCTGCGTCACATCAAGGCTGATGCCCAGCTCGGGAAAGGTTCGCGGCCACTTCCTTGGCAACCTCTGCAGCATTAGCCTGCGTCAAAGGGGGTGGCTACAAACAATGTCAAGCCAATCTCGCAAAGCAAACATTCAGCGCAGTACTGCCAGAGCCTCACGCACAAACTGCTTCAAATCCTGCCGCGTGGAAGCTCTAACAACTAAAAAGAGCACTCAAAAACTGCACCACCATGCATTGTTTGTAGCAGATGTTGCAGCCAGAGCTAGATGCCACGAATGATCACAAGCTGCGCGGAACCTGCCACAAACCACACCCCTGAACAAGTGGTTGCTTTCGGTCCTTGAAACACTTCAGTTCTTCATGTGCTGCAGGCAAGTCCGTAAGAGGATCCAACAACAGCATCAGACATCTGTCCTTCTGATCTGACATGCCGGGCATTGTGGGGTCCTCGGCTACATCGAACCTGGCATGCACTGTTTAGCCGCACACTGGGCAAGTAAGCATGCGCAGACAAGGTGTCAATCATGTTCGAGGTTCTGGGCCCACAGGGCCAGCAGCCTGACACCTGAAAGCTGCAAGCGCCTGGGCAGATCTTACACTTCTTCCAAGTCAGCATCTTTCAGAAAAAACACGCTGCAAACAGAAAGGAGGCCGATGCAGCCGGGAAGCATGTTCAAAGGAGCCTGAAGCATCGATTCCACCTTTCCGGCTCAAGGAGCCACTAAGACGTGATGAGATGCTGAGGCAGAAGCCACTGTCCGCACCAGCCCGCTCTCCTCGGTTACCAAAGGAACCTGGCAAGCCCAGGGCGTCGACATTAGAACGGGCGCCTGCAACATCCGCAGAAGCTCGATAAACCTGCCAGAGGATCCACCGCTGGAGCAGGAGCATCGCAGAGACGGTATAGAAGGGTGAAAGCCTCTTAGACTCTAGGATAGCCATCCAAGGGCAGCATCTGGAGCCCATGCACACATGACTCCACCTCGGATACCAGCTCCGGGGCCCGATTGTGGCCAATGATCCGGTGCAGCACCTGTGGCACTTCAAACCTAGTACTGCCGTGAAATTGTCTGCGGCAGGCCTGTAGAACATCTGACTGGAGGAGAGTGGCGCCATTCTCACTCCTAGCAGGGCTTTGGAGCCAGCATGCTCGCCGTTTTCCAAGATACGAAACCCCAAGGTTCCTGTAGAGAGTAAACCTCTCGATAGCGTCCAAGGCCTTGTTATTTGTTCTCACGAAGCAATTGGCGCACCGTTCCGAAGTCCAAGGCACAGACTGACAGTGCAACATCCTCGTCCTCTGCACCCAGCCTTCAGCAGGGCGAGGCATAGAATGCTAAGATAATGGAACAGCTTCGGTTGGACCAGAACGCAAGGTAGAGCACGTGCTGCAGCTGGTCAAAGTCCACTTCATCCTGGCCCAAGTCAGCTTCAGATCCAGCTACTCATGATTTGAAGTGGCCAGAGGGACAACTTCATTCAGCCAGCAAGCTGCCCTCTGAAACATTGCGGCAGCCTTGAATTAGCGGGACAGGCAACCACTCCAGCGTCTTGCAAGGAGCTTACACGCTTAAGTACATGACTGCTGCATTCACCGCTTCCGATGTATTGGGCGCCACATGCGCTTGCGGCAAATGCCGTAGAAAGGAAAGCATCGTCTCCACACCTTTGGCCTCTTCAGGTCACAGCTAACGCGAAGACATGTTTAGGAAGACTTGACAGCAACATGTGAGCTCAAACGCTTTTTGGTCAGCGTAGACAACTTGCATCTGCTGAGGTACAGTCTTTAACATCAGCGTCACAAGCTGCTGCTGGCCATTGCAGCTTTCCAGGTTGAAGCGAGCGCTGCTTTGGAGCCTTTCAACCTTCCATGGTTTAAGAGCTACAGCTCAGTGAAAGAATGATGCACGGTTTATCATTCAGCGGCCTGTCTACAAACTTTGAGTTGGACTTGATGCCCTCCACGGTCTGCGCCAAAGCTTTCTCTATGTTCTTGTACAGGTCGCGGCTCTTCCAGAAAGCGGACACCTCTTCGGCCTTGCTTTCAGTGACGAAGCCTGCTCCTGAAACACGGACCATGTTCTGAAAGAGCATCATTGAGGTAGCGCCGATCATCTCATAAATGCGGCTGTACTCGTTCTGCATCCAGGAGAAGACCATCTCCGCACCTGCCTTACCACTTGTTGCCATTGCCATTGGAATGTATATCAAATCCTGAGATCGAACGGCTCCACTCAGGCACAAGTCCAACGCCTTCTTCTGGAGAACGTTCCCACTCGCTTTGCCCAAAGCTCCATAAATGTGGATTTTGACGGCACCTTGATACATAGAACTCATAATTGATTGCGCGCACAGGAGCATTGCGGGGTTCATAGAGCCCTTGTAGAGGCTCGCGAACTTGTGGCAACACATGTAAATATTAGACATGCCTGAAGCAACAAGTATTTGCCCTGGCACCGTCCGTTACCGCATCATGGGCCTGGACCAGCTCATCGAAGACACGCGGAGCTTGGTCACTTTGCATTGCCACATCGAAGACTGCAGAGCGGATATCCGCAGAAAGCACCTTACGTTGCAAAGCAACTCAGCGCTTCCAGAGCCTTGCAATCGGAGTTGCTTACTACGACCACCCATTGCCCAAGCAGTTCATCCACTTTCATGACCAAACGCTGAGGCATCATTTGGTGCCGCCGCAAACTCTTTACACCTCCTGACCGCCTCGGCAGCAATTGCAGGGTCCTGCAGCCGCGCACGTATTCATTTGTGGCAAGGATTCTGGAATTAGAGGTCCTGGGAGCAGTACTTTGATACCGCTGCCAAGACTGTACTTCGGAGCTTCTTGCGGTTGTCGCTGTCCGCACTTGAAGCTTCCTTGCGAGCGGAGGATTGCTCTTTTCTGCTCGCTCATTCATCACAGCCATGCCTGCAAGTCTGAGCTGTAAGCCGTGGCAGCCACAAACATGTGGCTCGTCCATGAGCGAAATACAAGGCAAGCCAAACAGTCAAACAACAAAGATGGGCGATGGCTGACTCGACACCCCTGTTAGAGTAATTCCTGTACATGGATGCCGTCTCAGGTTTCATGCATGTGGATACCCGAGACCTCCTCATGCCGAGCTTCCCAGCCCACATGATTGAAAGCGGGAACTACCAGTTTGCTGCAGAATTCCTTGAAGGCAGCTGCCGTGTCATCAGCGAGACCCTGGCAGACAACCTCCAGCCACAACAGTCAGTGCCACGTGGCCAGGAACATATTATCGAGACATGCCCGCCTTGTCAAGCCCTCCCAGTACGGAGGCAATTTCGGACCACACTTTATCGTTCAGTTCTGACTTGAAGCCAGCCAGAAGATCCACCAAGAAGCTTGCATCCAGTACGCCGGCTTTGCTCATGGCGAATGTGTCTGACAGCAAGCCTATCTTGTCTTCTGGGGGCACACTGTTCAGATTCTGAACGAGACGTTTGAAAACTGACTCCGGATAGAGGACTCGCACCGGAACATGTTGACCAAAGTTCACCTTCATCATGGAAGCACCTGATGACCATTGTGGATAAAGCCCACGTTCATCAAGACTGCACACACCGCGCCTGAAAGACAACCGCCGCATGGAATCTTCCCACTCTTGTCTTCCAGAAATCCTGCAGGAGCACTGCCCTTGTCTGTGCCCACGATCACGGGGCAAAACCAGACTTTGTCATCGTCTGAGGACTCTTTGGATCCATCTGCCAGGAACCACCTCTGCTTGATTTCGACCTGTGTGTCTGTACAAAAAGGCAGCAGCGCCAAAGAAATCACTACAGAATCAAATCTCCCAGCAAGCTCTCTCACGTTCAGACTCAAAACCTGAGCTTGTTGCCTGCCCGGAGGAGTCCGCCAGTGGATCATTGAGAACCTGGACTGCCAGCAATCTACCACAGACCCTTATACCATTAAAAAGAGGATGCTGCAAGCCTCCAGGAGTGGGAACCCCATTTTCTGCGTCCATGAGCTCATCATCTTGTCGATTGGCTTGCCCGATACCTGGAAGCATATGCAGATACAATATCAACCAACAAAACATCTTTCAGCCGTGGACCTGCTTCCAGGCATTCCATAAGTCTGTGGTGACCGTGTTGCCGTATTTATGCCTTCCAGAAGTTAAGGAGAGAATGTTGCCAGAAATCAACAGTTACAGATAGTTCCTGGAGGTAGAACTCAGCAATGACAGGCAGCAGACGCGATTGACAGAGCTTCTCAATTTGACTACCCTCCGCAGAACATCGGCATCTTGGCGCCTTGAAAAGTACAACTGCAGTCCTTCCTGGAAGTGCGCTTCACCCAGCACCGAGTAAATCATCCGCACCACAGATCCTCCCTGAAGCGATGGCTCTTACACGAATGAGAAGCAAGCAACTTTAGCAGATCCCACCCACACAAACAAATCTCCTTGCAATAGGAGATTGCGTCGAAAACCTCCTCAACTTCCTCAGCATGCATGATCGGCACCTGTTCCAGCACACACAGGTTTCATACGTCTTCATGCTTCAGTACGTAAGGGCACTGCTTCCATCACGCCTGTATCGGATGGCTGCTACGCAATGCATCAAGCTGCAATGCTCTCTGCTGTTCTGTGCCGACATAAGACTCCCATATGTGCCAGTCAGGGAAAAGCTTGTCAGATGCGAACCTGGTCTCATTATCTGAGAACGACAAGCAAAAACGGGCATTTGGTGATGTGCTACAAATTCAACCATGCCACGTCTGCATCCAGTTGGCAAAGCCTTCATTCAACCACAGGTCTTCCCACCATTCCATGGTCACCAAATTACCGAACCACTGGTGCGCAAGCTCGTGGGCGATGACAGTGCAGATTCGTTGCTTCTGTGTCGCAGAAACTGTTGCTTCGTCACAAAGCAGTGCAACCTCTCTGTACGTCACAAGGCCCCAATTCTCCATTGCGCCAGCCGCAAAGTCTGGAATCGCGATCATGTCCATCTTTGGCAAAGGATACGGAATACCAAAAAACTCATTGTAGAACTCAAGGGCGCGTATGCAACACTTCAACGCAAAACTGCAGCGTGAGGCATTGCCAGGACAGGCAAAAATTCGTGCCAACACTCCTCCCTTCGTGCTGTCACTGATGAACTCGAACTCACCGATGCAAAAGGCAAGCAGGTAAGTACTCATTCTGGGAGTTGGCATGAATGTCTCCCTCGCAGGGCTGCTTGCTACTGTTGACATGCATGTTGACCATGTGACTCCGACACCTCCGCTTGCCATCTGCCAAAACTTCAGAGCGGCTTGGAGGCATGTTCGAGATGGCTGTGAGATTTGCGGGGTAGATCAACGTAACGACCTCTGCTGAATCAGCCTAGGCCTATGAGAAACAAGAATTCATGGGTCTGTTGATCAGTGTTTCCAAGCCCGCGGCGAATGTGGCTTTCCTTGCCGGTTCATCCCAGCAGGGAAAACAACGACGGGCATCAATAGCTTCAAACTGAGTAGTGGCCATGAATCGTTTCTTGCCACGCGAGTCCTTGGCACGAATGACATTTGCAAAATACATGAAGTGTAATTAATCTGGAAAGCCTTAATTACAACGAAAGGAAGCCATTACAAGTGCTCATTGTAACATGAGCTCTGTGTATTGCGAACGGTAGAAACCTGCCATCTGATCATTCAGGATCCCACGGAATTTGATTTCCAGGACACCCTTGCCAACTGGTAGTACTTCATCAAATCCAAGGGTAGCTGTCTTCAATTTGGCCTCGAAAGCAAATAAACAATGGCCGCGCGTGCACAAAGAAGCAGCGGTGACAAACGCGCGCCTTTGTTGTGATCTCATCTGCTTTGATCACTGAAGTGGAACCACTGGGCCTGAACACAGCCTGCGACAGGACAAGGTCCATGGCGTGCACACTGACAGTGTCAGTTGCCACTTGCACGTCGCAGGTGATTTTGACGATGCCATCAAAAGTGAAGTGTTCCAAATCCGGCTCCAAGGTGAGATCATACTCCTCTGGCAGCGCCTCAGCATCAGGAGCGAATGGGAAAACTCCTGTGACAGTCAGATTTCTAGACTGAGGATTGCACGTCGGAGGGCAGAAGTACTCTTTTTTGGGCAGCCATGCTGGCCAAAAACCTTGCCCTTGAACACAAAACGCTTCACAAAAGAACAAACCTTCCTGGAATCTCTCCACCATGAAAGCAGCTGCACCATGTTGAGACATGCAACCATGCCTGGAGCAAGCTGAAGAACCCTTCGTTCGCCTCAAACGTGGGGCACTCTGCCGCTACAGCCCAACTACGCAGGATTTCAGCCTCGCAAATGCGCTCAATTGCGCTGCAAGAAGCTCGAAGGCATGAACGGTCACCCTGACAAGCCAGCAGCACAGTTGCCATGATAGACACAAATGCCTTCAGAACCGTTGACAAAGTGCAGGGTTCCGGATGATTTGCAACATGAATTTGAAGTTAAGCCTGCATCAAGCCGTACCCGAGCAGCTGAAACACTCGAGGAACGTGGCTTGCATCGATGCTGGAGTCCACCTTTCCCAACGTGAGACTGAAGCAGCCAAGCAAAGTACACCATCAGCGATCCTCGTCCAAAAAAATCAAGTCCGTCTGCTTCTTGTCGGCCAGAGAAACAGTTGTCCCCTGCGAATGCGACCACTCCCCGTAATGAGACATCTGATACAGTCCATGCTCATTGTGTCCCAAGGTCCCAACTGTTTTGGGCAATTTCTTCTGACTGGTCGCTCGTCCCAAGTTGCTTTTCGAGCGGCTTTTGGGAGCCATCTAGAGTTTTGGCCGCGCATTGCAAAGCCAAATAAATCAAACCGTGCTAAGCTAACATGTATGTTGAAAAGATAAAGCTTATCATTGGCAAACATGTTTCAATGGAGCTTCGGTGTCGCCGGCGACACCTCTACGGTAGCCCACACGAGCTGACACAAATGTTGTCGAGTCGTGGCTGTGGTGCATGATGACTTCCATGACATCCTAACAATCCACGAATGTTGAACGCATGAGTTAGAATTTGCAATGGACGAAAGCTGTTATGCATATGGACGGCCATGACAAATTCCCTGCGAACTGCAAGCAAAGAACAACAGGGCAAGCGCCAGCGTTGCAAGTCCAAACAGCTCATATGCTTGAAATTGCCATTCCTGCGGATTTACCTGGCATTTGCTGAATGAATGGGTTCACAAAAAAAACACAGCCTTGCCCCATGTGTTGGCACATACCCATCCAATACAAAAATATCGTGCGTGATCTCGAGCGTAAAAACTGCTATCGATGTTTTCGTATCTTGTCTGAAGCCACACCCTCCTGCAAAGCTTCGTAGCTCTGCTCGAACCTGTGACGAGGACAGTCGCCCGTATCACTGGCATCGCCATAAAATAGGTAGAATGTTGTTCACACAATATTTTTTGAACAACAAATACATACGCTGCCAAAACTTGCAATATCCATAAATTTAATATGTCACGCAAAGTTCCTTCGAAAATCTAACCTGCTGGCCATGGCGATTCACAGCTCCCAGCCTCATCCTCCTCCCTTTCCTTCTGGTCAACCTTCTTTGCGCACCGGCCTTTCTCAACGCTCTTCAAACGAACACAGAGGAAACAATTTTGCAAAAATAAGACCGAAAATTTCAGATCAACCCGGCACAGAATTATAGGTGTTTGCGTGAAGAACGCACCATAGAATAGCATGACCCCGGTCGCACTCCAAGCGTTTCTCCCGGAATCCCGACATTGTGCACGGTGCCAAGCACTAATGTCACCCCAGTCGATTTCTGCCAACAAACCTGGCATCGAAAAATTCTTGTTACAAAAAACTAGACCGCGACTATCCCGAAAGCTATCAGTTTTGGTTAGAAGGGGCGCGCATCTGGCAGCGTTCCAGGTGCCACGGTCGCAGTGCGGTGCAGGTGCTGTGGTGCATGCGCGCAGTGTAGGTGTCTTGGTGCGTGTGCGCGGTGTAAGTGCTGTGGTGGGTTTATAGTTTAGGATTTAGTGTTTAGGATGGTGTGAACGACTCACAAGGTCCCGAACAGCTGGCCTGTACAGGGAAAACAGCAGGCCCAGTTGCAGTACCACGGTGTTTGCGGTGTTTCGCAACCACCGAATTCCAGCACCACGGTCTTTTTGCAGGGGTTTCACAACCGCCGAATTCCAGTACCACGCTATTTGCGGTGGTTTCGCAACCGCCGAATTTCAGTACTATGGTATTTGTGGTGTTTTCGCAACCGCCGAATTTCAGTACCATGGTATTTGCGGTGGTTTCGCAACCGCCGACTTCCAGTACCATGGTATTTGCGGCGGCGTCGCAACCGCCGAATTCCCGTACCACGGTATATGGCGGCTTCACAACCGCCGAATTCCAGTACCAAGGTATTTGTGGTGGTTTAGCACCCGCCGACTTCCAGTACCACGGTATTTGCGGTGGTCTCGCAACCGCCGAGTTCCAGTACCACGGTATTTGCGGTATATGGCGGCTTCACAACCACCGAATTCCAGTACCCCGGTATTTGCGGTGGTTTCGCAACCGCCGAATTCCCGCACTACGGTGTTTGTGGTGGTTTAGCAACCGCCGACTTCCAGTACCATGGTATTTGCGGCGGTTTCGCAACCGCCGAATTCCCGTACCACGGTATATGGCGGCTTCACAACCGCCGAATTCCAGTACCATGGTATTTGCGGCGGTTTCGCAACCGCCGAATTCCAGTACCACGGTATTTGTGGTGGTTTAGCAACCGCCGACTTCCAGTACCACGGTATTTGCGGTGGTTTCGCAACCGCCGAATTCCAGTACCATGGTATTTGCGGTGGTTCGCAACGGCCGAATTCCAGTACCATGGTATTTGCGGTGGTTTCGCAACCGCCGAATTCCAGTACCATGGTATTTCCGGTGGAAAAATCTGGACTACAATTGGAAAATCCACATTAGGTTCTGCGGTGGCAAGGACGGGCACCTGCTCAACCAGACAGAGCGGTACATCCGTACCCGAGGGCATAGCAGTGCCATGGGAGCTAGCTTCTGGGAGCACCTGAGCTATGAACCTCGTGGCGCAGTGGCCATTCCATCTTTCAGGCACGCCATTCTCAAGTTACTTTCACAGCAAGACCGGAGCCAACGAGCTACAACGACCTCAGGGATTTCGGGGCGCAGTCAAACTTGGATTGGCAGGCCCACATCTTCATTGCCAAGCTGACGGGCGAGCCTGAAAGCCTTTGGTACGCCTACGATTACGAGAACGTGCAGGCCAAGCTGCAGTTGGACGTGAAGCCGGCTAAAACCATTCGCGCGAACACAAACATTCCCAAGAAGAAGCTCTTTCTGGCCACTGCCACCACAAAATCCTGATGAAGACGGATGAGATGGCAGCTCCGTCAAACGGCTTCCTTCTGCAGACCACATGGAAGCATAATGATCGCTATCTTGTCTCCAGCAACACGATGCCACGTCAGGTTGATGACAAAGAGCCGACTGGCTTTGTTTGTCCTACTTCGTGGCACAGTCGACAACCGATGAGGAGGAACCCAATCTGGAATTCTTCACCGTGAAGGGCGGGAATGGTTGCGGACAGTGGCCACTGATGTGCAATTCAAGAGCCGTCAAAGCAGGGGATGCGCTGCTCGTCTACAAGGAGATTGGCAAGAAGGCTGCAGAGCCCCTCGAAGCTGCTTCCCCTCCATCAGCGAAACGCTTGAAGACCAAGACTACATTGCCCTGAGATTGCCTGAGATTCAGGTTGTATGAACATAGACGTATTGCCATGCTGGCGATGATCTTTTTTTGCTTTGTGTAAACCAGCACGTTGAGATGGTTGTTGCCATGATTCCACATGCAGCTGTGGCATTCCGCGAGTTTCAGCGCTAGGCATGGATGTGCATTGCGTTGGTCCGCATTCCTATCGAAAAGATCCTACGCACGCAAGTGTCCATGGTGAGTAGATTGCAGGGCTTTCAGCTCGCAGCTCCCAGGACTGCAGTCACGCATGATGATATTTGCATGGGGTTGTTGAATAATGTTTTCTTATAGTTCCAGCCATCCATATCA